TTCAGATATTTGTTTTTAATCGTCTAGCGAGTCTTAAAATTAACAGTTACTTATATAAATAACCTTTTAGAGATATAGGGTGGTATGAAAAAAAGTAGGTTCTTCCTGTATATAATATGTTATTTTTTTAAATTGTTTGCGACGTTGCCTTTTTAAAAAAAATTGAAAATCGAACTTCTGAATTGGAATAGAGACCTACAACTTTACATACTGGTAAACGAGGCTTCATTGTTTTGCTTGATATGGGTTTTATACAATTCCACCACATATACAGGGTGCTAACTAGAAGTGCTCAATTTCTTTTTATTGTATTTGTTTTTAGTTTTTCTCAAAGTCCATTATTTAATTTTTGACTGGCACACTATACAGGGTGAAATGTGAAAATTTCTAGTTTTTTCCACTGTAAAGTGTTTGTTTAGAAAATGTAAACTTCGGTTCAATTCTCATTCGGGCTACAACGCAAAATAACAAGGAAAGCTCCAATCCAACCCCAACTTGGGTAAACAAAAGCTTAATTGATTTCCGTTAAGGTAAAAAAGCGTCGTAACTCGATGCAAAAATCCCCGAAAAACAACTTAATCTCCTCAAAACACGTTATTTTAATTGTCTAGTGACACGTATTACAAGCCAGTAAATCCCCCCGATGGTAATTACATTCACTTTTTATTTAAACGCTCTGTCGACACGCAAAGATGAGAATTTGGGGTAAGAAGGGCGTCTCTTGTGGCAAGGTCGAGCGTGACGTCGCGACGCCGTCGGTAGCACCCATAAAACGACTTCAAGGTTCGAAGGATTCGCTTCCGACGACCTCGAGGGTGATGGATGGCCGATAGCCAAGGACGAAAATAATCAAGTGGGCTTTTCGGGGGTTTTTCCCCGAAACTATAAACATAATATGACACAAAATGACAGTTTTATTGTGTCCTTGGAATCAATCAATGTGCCACTTGCGATTTCACCATCATGTGACCATTACTCACCACTATCACGCGATCCACCCCTATTACCTTTCAAATCAAACCCTGCGTTATTATCTGCAATAATTACTCGGGCTTATCTAGCACGCGAGGGAGGATTTTGCAAATTGAGGGTTGATTTGTATCGTAGAAGGTCAATAAGTGTCAAAAATTATCTTATGTAAATTTTTTATTTACATACAGGGTGCCTCAATTTTCACATATCGCTGAATCTTGACTTTATTATTAATCATACGAATTTAATTTTTTGCTTGATGATATTGTTGGCAAGCCTGCATTGTCTCAATTTTTTTTTGGAATTTTTGTTGTGTTGAAATGCCGGCACGTGTCAGATATTTTCGTGGCTGGTCCCCTCCAACATCAAGGTTGTTTTATTTAACAAAAACTTCTTTTATTATGCATCCCCCGTTACGAATTGATCGTGTCACCTGCGATTACGTCATCGCGTTACGTAACACGGTCACGTGTTGCGATTTTCGCCAAATCTTAATTAGCCAATGGCGTGTCATAAGCACTGCATGCATGAAAATATGATTCATACATCCCTAATGTATCGATTTCTCGACAAATTGTTGTTACCGTGAACTTGGCATTTGAAATACATAATGAATGGCCGCATTCTTGGTAAATTACTACGTTTTTTGTGGGGTAGTGAAATTATCAATATACAAAGCGATTGCATTTTATCGGTTTAATAATTATGGATGATGATTCATAGTGTGCCCGTGAGTCGAGTTCCAAGAAGCGATTGTTTCGTTAAGATCTTTCTAAATGATTGTAGTGTTTGTTGTAATGATATGGAAATTTATTCAGTTATGTCATGTTTTTTTTTATCTTGACTGAATCGATACCGGATTTATAAAATGCAATTGAGACAATTAAATTTGCTCGAGCTTTGAAATGCTAAAAATCAACACAATTGATCATTTATGTTTTAAGTTTCAAGGGAGATATAGGCCGAGGAAGTTTCAGATGGTATCCCCTGTATGTTTTCTAATCCTTTAAATCTATTAAATTTTTACCAACTTTGAGACAATTAAATCTGCTTATGCTTCGAAAAGTCAAAAATCAACACAAATGATCATTGACTATTTATGTTTTAAATTTCAAGAGTTTTGGTGCAATAACAAGGGAGATATATGCCGAAGAAGTTTCGGATGGTACACCCTGTATGTTTTCCAAGCCTTGACATCTATTAAATTTTAATAAAAAAGAATTGTAAAAGTATTAAAGAGAAATATTGATTTAGAATTAAAATACTGAGTGTACAGGGTGTTCTAATTTCGAGCCAATTAAACCTACGTGAGTTTTGGCAAACTTGACTAAAATTCGATACAAGTGTCTATGTTTTAAGTTTCAAAAGTTTTGCTCCAAAAATTACAAAGATATTGGCTAAGGAAGTTTCACTTGATATATCCTGTATATTTTCCAAACCTTTGCATTTACTAAATTTTGACTAAAAACTAAGCCATATAAAAATTTCGAAGACAAATATTTATTTAGATATGAAATACTGAAATATACAGGGTGTCCGATTTGAGAGACAAATTAAGCTTGAAGAGCTGTGACTAAAATTCGACCCCAATGACCATTGAATGTCTGTGTTTTAAGTTCCAAATGTTTTGCAAAAAAAATAAGTGCCTAAAGGAAGTTTTACATGATAAACCCTGTATATTTTTTTGTATTTTTATATTGTTAAATTTTGACTAAAAACTAAGAAATATAAAAGTGTAGAAGGCAAATATTGTTTTAGAATTAACATATTGAATATACAGAGTGTTCCAACCTTGACAATTCAATCTTGCCCAGTTTCGGAAAATCAAAAAACAACACAAATTCTATGTTTTAAGTTTCAAGAGTTTTAGTGTAACAACAAAATAGATATAAGCCGATAAGATTCAGGTGGTACACCCTGTATGTTTTCCAAGCCTTCATATCTATTCATTTTTTATTAAAAACTAGGAATGGTAATAAATTGATGGCAAATATTGATCTGGGATTAAAATACTGAAGTATACAGGGTGTTTCAATTTTGCATGAGTTTTGTTAAACTGTGACTAGAATTTGACTAAAGGAAGTTTTACATGATACAGTCTGTATAAAAATTATTGAATACACAGATAACAATTAAATCTGCTCAGGCTTTGTCAAATTTGTAAAAGTAAAGAAAGAAAGAAGTTAATGAAAAGTTAAAAAGAGATACAAATGACGGAAACACAGGCTGTGGAAATTTTAAGTGGGTACACTCTGTATATTTTTTTAACTTGTACTTTTATTAAATTTTTATTAAGAACCAAGAAATGTTGAATTACTGGAGGCAAACAATGATCTAGAATTAAAATACTGAAGCATACAGGGTGTTAAAACTAAAACGCACCAATTTTTTATGGAATTAATGACTCACCCTGTATGCAAAATGCTGTTTGCGTATCTAAAGCGGAAATCACATTTTTTATTATTTTTTTTTGCCTAAGCAAACCATTATTTACTTGACCATGAAAAAAATATTTGCGCTTTTAACGAAAGCTTTATAAATTATTGACAATGAGAAATCGAAGTTTCAGCTTAACGGTGAAATTCGTAAATACAGGTCGTGAATAATTGAGTGATGTTTGAAATATTAATTTTTAACCTTGTAGATTTTTCAGGTGTCAAACTGAATTTTTTTATTGTTTTTGCTTTTTTTTTTAATTGAAATGTGATTTATGTCTCGAATTGAAAGTTTTTTATACCAAGACATAAAAATCTATAGGCTATATAAATTTTACTGGTAATTAAACTTTATTTCGGTTGTGATTACGAAATAATAAACATAAACCATTCATGTTTTTTTTATTACGAATTGTGACACCTGTCACGGACTATATTAAAAAAAAATAATTAAAAAATACCAATTGCATGTCTGTAGTTCGAGGACTGGTACCGCCAATTCCGTTCCGGTTTTCAGGCGAAAATTCTCGGAAAAAGTCCGAAATCCGGAGCCCGAAATCGATAATCGCACAATTAAGGTTATAATCGATTAAACTATTGTTCGCATGCTTGATCTCGAGCGAGTCAAGTTCAGTAGGTCTGTGGGACCTGGTCGCAGATGGCTGTGTTTATCAACGCACTCTTTGTTTCGTTCACGTGCTCGTTTCGTGAATTTTAAATCGGATTTGCACTTCAATCGATTAAAACCTCACCTCTTTTTGCCCTCTCGCAAAGGTGGAAGTGAGGTAATTTATCTTTGTTTTGCAATTTTAAACGTGGAAAAATGGTGGATGCGCCGGGAAAATAATAAAGTTCACTCAGTGTGATATTTTCAAAGGTTGTGTTGGACTAAATACTAGATTTAAAACAGTTTTTTTCGTTTCAGATGAATCAATTTCCAGGCTGAAAAAATGGAGTTTGAGGCGTGTCGGTGAGTCCCCGAGTTGGGTGTTCGTTTAGTGATTTTAGTTTTTTGCAGTTGCCATCATTTCGGGGATTCCAGTTAACAAAATGCAACAGAGAGGATTATACGCAATGAATATCGAAAACGAAGATAAATCATCACAGTCGAGTCGAGGCCGAGTAATTTTTTAATTTTTTTTTTTTTTTTCGTTTTAAATCAAGATTGATTTTTAGCACAATTCGAAATTGAAAGTTTTGGTTCGAAGTCACGCTATCCGTGAAGAAGCCTCCCCCCCTCGCGAATCCTCTCCCTCTCGTTTGATCTCTCCCAGTATCAAAGTCATTCCCTCGACGGAGACCTCTCCTGCCCGTTCTTCGCCTTCGGGGAATCCCGTTGTTGTGTTGAGTCCTTCGTTGACGTCGCCGTGTCTTTCCCCTGTTTGTGTTTCGCCGACGTCGACGTTGGTGCCGTCGCCGACGAATGCCGATGGGAGCGACGATAACAGTCCCAAATACCTCAACAGACTCAATAAACAGAATCTTGAGAAGAAGGAAAATGCTAGTCAAAATAATAGAAAAAAATTTATTTGTGATTGTTCGAATCAGAACTGCAAGTGCGCCAAAAATCAAGAGCGCAATTTTAATAATAATCTCACGAATATTAATAATAATGTGGTTAGTTCGAACACTTTGACGGTTAATAGGGCGAACTCGAGGAATAAGTTGCGACAGCAGAGCTCCTCGCAGGGGAGCTTCGAGGGGAGCTCGTCGAATTCGCCGTGTTTGTCCAGAGGTAAATAACTATTTTTTTTGCGATTTCATGCCAAATGCTTGTTATATTTTGGTTTTTGTGACCATGAAATTTAATTTAGCACTTGTTTAAGGCAATTTGACTTTAAGAAAAAGGACAAATTTTCGCCTATATTTCAAAAACTTCCTTATGAAAAATTTAACTTCAGTGCAATAAGGAGATTTTGTGGCTTTGAAAAATAGCAACGAGTTTTTTTTTACAAAAATCAACAAACTTTAATCGATATCTCGAAAACTAGTGATGATAAATAAAAACTTATTATATGTTTGGGATTCTTCTACAATTGTGCCTAAGAAAAATTTTATTTTATTTTTTCTTGTTGTTGATTTTTATGTCCTTGGAGAATTCAAATTCTAGCACTTGATGAGAGGCGAATTTTACAAAAAAATAAGAATTTTGACGGGTATTTCGAAAACTGTTAATTGTAGGTAAAAACCGATTACACATTAGGAATTTTTGCATAATTTTGTATGACAAAAGTTTAATTTTTTCGATTTTGTCACCTTGAGAAATTATTATTTGGCACTTACCCAATTTCACAAAAAAATATTGAAAATTTTGATAAATATCTCGAAAACTAGCAACAATAAGTGAAAACTGGATACATGGTTAGAATCCTTGGACAATTTTGTATCAAAAAATATAATTTGGGTCTATTTTTTTTTATTTCTGTAGCCTTGAGAAATTATTGTTGCACTTGATCAGAGAGCAAATAAATTGACGTATTTTGGCCAATACCTTATAAAATATTAGAAAAACTAAATACATATTTTAATGCAATTAACTTATTTTTGACTTTGAAAAATTACAATTCTAGTACTTTAACCAACGCACGGTTTAAAATGTTTAAATTTTTACAGATATCTCGAAAATTGATAATAAGTATGTCCAAAAAAGAAAGATGTTTCTTAGAATATTTGTTAAAATCAAAAATTATCAATCAAATGTCAAATCGCAAAAAAATAAGCAGTTAGGCACATTTTCTCAATTACTTAGAAATACCAATGTCTTTGCTAAATTTTCTCAAAATTGCAATACGGCATTTTTACAAAAATTGAGAATTTTGTACAATATTTCGAAAACTATTAATAGTAGACAAAAACCGATTACACATTAGGAATTCTTGCATAATTTTGTATGACAAAAGTTCAGTTTAGGTCCAATTTTTTCGATTTTGTAACCTTGGGAAGTTACTATTTGGCACTCAACCAATTTCAGAAAAAAATAGGAAAATTTTGATAAATCCTTCAACAATTTTGTATAAAAACTATAATCTGGGTCTATTTTTTTAATTTCTGTAGCCTTGAGAACTTATTCTTGTAGCACTTGACTAGAGAGCAAAAAAATCGACGAATTTTGGCCGATACGTGATAAACTATTAGAAATAAATAAAAACTGAGTATATATTTGGAATCCTTGGACAATTACTTAAGAAAAATTTAATTTTAATACAATTTACTTATTTTTGATTTTGAAAAATTACTATTCTACTACTTGACTAGAAACCGTCAAGTTTCTTAAAAACTACTAGAGATAAATGAAAACTAATTAGAAAGGTGGAAACCTTAGACAATTTTACGGAAGAAAAATGTAATTTTAATACAGTTCCTTTATTTTTGATCTTTATAAATTGAAATTCCAATACTTGACCAGACAAAAACTGAGAATTTTGTACGATATTTCGAAAACTACTAATAGTAGGCAAAAACCGATTACATATTTGGGTTTCTTGGACAATTTTGTTAAAAAGAATATATTTCAGTCCAATTTTTCGATTTCTGTAGCTTTGAGAAATTATAAAAAGCACTTAAGCAGAGTTAAAGATAATTGACAAGTTTTGACCAATATCTCTAAACTTTTTGATCATAAATAATAACCGATTACATAATCGGACACTTTTAAAAAAATTTCTCATTAATAATTTAATTTTAGTTGATTTTTGTACTCTTGAACGTTTAAAATTTGACGAATTTTACAAAAATAAAATAAAATTTTAACCGATATTTCAAAAACTATTAATAGTATATAAAAACTTGGAATCCCTGGATGATTTCCTATAACACAAATTTGATTTCAGTCTACTTTTATTATTTTTGTAGCCTTGAGAAATTATAAATTTAGTACTTGACCAAAGACCAGAAAAAAAATTACAAGTTTTTGCCGATAACGCAAAAACGACTAGAAATAAATGAAAACTAATTACATAATTTGAATTCTTGAATAATTTTGCGTAAGAAAAATCTAATTTCGGGGACATTTTGTTGATTTATGTAGCCTTGAAAGATTTTAATTTTTGTACCGAAGACATTTGACGAATTTTACAAAAATTGAATTTGAGAAAACTCTTGCTAAAAACTGGATATTATATTCGGAATACTTGGTCCGTTTTTATAAAAAAGTATAATTCTAGCAAAAAAATTGACAAATTTTGGCTGATATCTCAAAAACTTTTAGTGATAAATAAAAACTGATATAATCGAGATCTTTCGACAATTTTGCGTAAGAAAAATCAAATTTTGGCTCAATTTGTTAATTTCTGTGATCTGTGTGAAATTAAATTTGACCAGAGACGGTTTCACGGTTTAAAATGTTTAAATTTTTACAGATATCTCGAAAACTGATAACAATAAGTAAAAACTTATTACTTATTCAAAAAATAAAGATGTTTCTTAAACGGAATAGAATATTTGTTTTAAAAAAATTTTAACAATTAAATGTCAAATAAATAAAAGAAACGCAGTTAGGCACTTTTTCTTAATTCTCAAAAAAATACTAATATCTTTGCTAAATTTTCTCAAAATTGCAATAGGGACATTTTGGACATAGCCTCAAAATATTTTTTATCATTTATTTGTAAAGAACAATTTTTTTAATCTCAATTTTACAAAAAAATATGAAGTTACTTTTTTGTGGTTATATTTCCAGACAGCAGTTCAGAGCAATACACAGACACTTCAGGTGCCGACCTCGAGGTATTCATACCTGAAACTCTCAACAGAAACGCAAAAGACCGAGCGTTCATGTTGAGAATCGAACAAGAACTAGTCAGTCTTGCCAAAGATAAAATGTAAGAATTATTCTCTCCTTGTCCAGACAATTTCAAAAATTGTCATATTTTCAGTAAAACTCATTACAAATTTCCACCGATGTCGAGCTACCAACGCATGCTGGTCCATCGTTGCGCCGCTTACTTCGGCATGGACCACAACATCGAATCGTCAGGAAAATGCGTTGTCGTCAACAAAACGAAAAACACGAGAATACCAGACGTTGAATTCAAAGAGCACATAAAAGAGGATGTCGTCTTCAGCGAGGAACCTAGACGCTCGATCCTCAAACGCGACTCAAACAGCATTGAGGATTATAGTTTCAAGTCGCCAGATCGGCAGTACTCCATGGAGAACAGGAGGAGCAAGAGTTTTGAGGAGAGGGAGGAGGAGTACGCGAAAATACGCCGACGAATTTTCAACAAAGAAGTAATAAAAAACTTAAAAAAACAATAGTATAAACAATATCTAGTATACTACTACAAAGTGGTTATAAATGATTTTCATCTAGCCAGCTGTGAATTTTCCATGTAAAATAAAAAATACCGCTTTATTAAAGTAGGGGTACCTACTTGTTTTAACTCAAAATTAAAAAATCGCCGTTTACTAAGCGTCCACTTCGAAAATAGACTTCAATTATAAACTTGTTTTCTTCCAAAGTATACATTATTATCAATTATTATAGGAAATTAGTTGAAACAATAAAAGTTTAATTAACAACAATTTATTATTAATTAATAAGTAACACTAATGACAGAATTAGAGCTTTCAAAAAAAGTAGAGCGGCACAAATAAATAAAGTTACATGCAAAAAAATTCCAAAACTGGCTAGATGAAAATCATTTATAACCACTCTGTACTATGTTATAGTACATACAGGATGTTCCGTCTAACCCCCACATTGGAAGTATTGAGAGTTCGAATAATCGTATTTATTTGAAAATTGGTACATAGCCATAATCCATTAAATCCTCTTAAATGAAAATATTTTCAAGATGGCGGCACTTCCGGTTATACCGGAAGTCGGTCTCAACTTTCTTATTTTAAATGGAAAGGTATATTTTTAACTGCGTTTTTGGATTAATCGGGTTATTTTAAGGGAGTTTTCATCAACTTTCTCTATACCTAAATTTAGCCGTTTTTGAAATATTTGGAGTTTTTCAAAAAATTTTAGATCTGCACCTTCCACTTTAAAAATCGGTAACTCTGATATTTTTTTAAATTTTGAATTTGTTTTTTTTGGCGTTTGAAAAAGAAAGCTCAGATCTTTCTTCTTGTGTTTTCAAATTGTGAAAAAAAAATAACAAACCCCAAAATTTTAAGGTTACTTTTTTAATAATTCAAATACTCATAACTCAATTTTTCCAAATGAAATACCCCAATTTTTATTTTACTAAACGGAAGAGAATTTAATTTTGCATCGATCTGTATTAACATTCCCTATACCTAAATTTAATAATTTTCAAGTTATGGTGACTTTTTTTTAAGACTGCGAAAAATCTTTTACTAGCCACACCCGTTTTCGCATAGTTTGCTATGGAAATCAAAAATGTCAAAATTGTTTTTCAATAAACGTGGACAGTGAATTATTATTTGACAAATAGTGCCAAAATATGGAGAATCAAAGCTACTCAAACTTAGATTTAAATCAAGCTAACCTCAAAGAAAATATAAAAAATAAATAAATTCAGAGAACTAAAATTTTCCTCACTTGCTAGCTTTAAGTAGATGCAAGTATAAACAAATGAAATTAAAACTGGTAGTTTGTACAATAAAATGCAAGAAGAATAATAATAAATAATACTGGCTACTTGATAATTAATATAACTAATATCATATGATCATTTGAATTAATAATTAGAGTTGTTGTACAATAAAATGCAAGAATAATAATAATAAATAATACTAGCTACTTGATAATTAATATAACTAATGTCATGTAATTATTTGAATTGATAGTTGGAGTAGGCTTTATTAGATTTTTAATTTGTATGAAAACGGTGATTATCATAGTTAATCAAGTTGAAAAGTCAAATAATAAGATTTCGAACGTTAATATTTAATTAGAATACATGTTTTCCTTCAGTTTGCACTAGTTAATCATTCATAAAGAAAAAAAAACGCCTACTTTAATTATAAATTAAAATGATCGCATTGTAGAACCTATCAATAATAATTAAGTTTGAGTAACTTTGATTCTCCATATTTTTCACTATTTATCAAATAATAATTTACCGTTGACGTTTTTAGAGAAACTTTTTGACTTCCATACCAAACTATGCGAAAACGAGTGTAACTAGTAATAAATGTTCTGTAGTCTTAAAAAAGTCATCATAACTTAAAAATTATTAAATTTAGGTATAGAGAATGTAAATACAGATCGATGCAGAATTAAATTTCATTTGGAAACATTGAGTTATGGGTATTTAAATTATTACAAAAGTAACCTTAAAATTTTAGGGTTTGATATTTTTTTTTCAAAATTTGAAAATACCAGAAGAAAGATCTAAGCGTTCTCTTTCAAACGCCAAAAAAACGAATTATATATTTTTTTAATGGCCCAGTTACCGATCTTTAAATTGGAAGGTGCAGATGCAAAATTTTTTGAAAAACTTTAAATTAATCAAAAACGGCTAAATTTAGGTATAGGGAAAGCTGATGAAAACTCCCTTAAAATAACCCGATTAATCCAAAAACGCAGTAAAAAATATAGTTTTCTATTTAAAATAAGAAAATTGAGACCGACTTCCGGTATAACAGGAAGTGCCACCATCTTGGAAATATTTTCATTTAGAAGGACTTGATGAATTAGGGCTATGTACCAATTTTCAAATAATTATGATTATTCGGACTCCCAATACTTTTAATGTGGGGTTTAAGCAGAACACCCTGTATAGTATGTAAACCAATGGTAGCTTTTTATTTTGCAGGAGTTGTGTCTGTTGCGTCAGATGCAAGATGGGGGCAGTAGTGAGGATTTCGAGTGGGCTGAAATCCCATGGTCTAGCACCGATAGCGAAAACTCGTCGAGATTCCGCCTCCAATTGCCCGAACATACCCGAAGGGCCGGAAAATTGACTAAAGTAAGTCCAAATTTTCGGTTAATTTTCACAATTCCTCTTTAGGTTCTCTCGGAGGAAGCCGGCGAGACTTCGCGTCCTTACGTCGCTAAAAGTTACAGTTTTGGGGGCTACGCCGGAGTCCTAAACCGCGGAGACAGCGTCGTGTCGACTCACAGTGCCGGCCCTCGTCTCCTAACCAAACAAGGTCGGTTATAACCCTTTGTGTCCTTTTGTTCAATTGTTTTTCAGATTCGGGCGCTAGTTCGGTCTCGTGGCGTCTAAGCCCTTCAAGTTCCGGTTACAAATCCCAATCGCAAATGTCCGAGTCGATAACCCCCTCCCCTACCTCCACCCCCAATCAGATCGTCGAGTCGAATGAGAAAGACTCGATTGTTTGGGCCGTCACTGATATACAGCGTGTTCCAAAAGGCAGTATTATTATCAATCCGCAAACTGGGGAACCAATCAAAAACGAGGACGGCTCTTTGTACCACTACGATCCGAATAATCCGCCTCCTGGGTTTGTCACTTCGAAACCGCCTCCTTCACCGAAAAAAACATCACCACAAAGTGTATCACCGAAAAAACGAAATTCGAAACTTTCGCCTAATCATAAATCCCACGTGACTAACAGTTCGACCAGTCCTAGTTTGCCTTACTCCCCACCACCGAATCGAACTTTTCCATTTATGGGTGATAATAACATGGGTGGGTATCCAGTTTATGGGCCTGCGTATCCACCATCGAGTCATGAAACTGTACCATTCTACCAGCAACCATGCATCGTGTACAACGTACCCATCTCGCCACATTTCGAAGGACGAATGGTGTGTTACCACCCACATACAGGGTGAATATAAAGTATGGAACCAAGCGGTTTTATTTTTAATCATTTGCCACCAGAAAATAATAATTAATATAAATTAAAGTAATATAAAAAATGTGATCGTATTTTCTGAACGAAATTTTGTTTTGTTTTTGAGTTATGCGATTTTTTTTTTAAGTTATGTGAAAAATTTTTTTTGAAAAAATTAAATACAGGGTGTTCCGTTTTTATTGTTACAAATTTAAACAGATGATAGGCAATTCAATTCTAAAACAAAAGTTTCCTATAAACATGTTTCGAAAAATGCTTGGTAACGGAGCTACACCCTTTGAAAAGGGCTAACTTGTTTTTGCTAATATTTCAGAAACCATTTAAAAAATTTGGTACAGATGATAACCTTTATACACCTAAACGAATTCAAACATCAAATGTCGAAATTTTTAATCAGGGGCGTACGAAACTGGGGGAGTTTAAGGTAAAAAAATACCCTATTTATTTTGACTTTAGTTTCTCGGTACTTTCAGCAACAAAATCTTAAGTTCGATAGTTTATCACAGAAAAGTCTCTCTTGTGTCGATACTACTTAGTGTCTTTGAATAAAATTGATTTAAAATTTATGTTACACACCAATACAACATTCAAATAAATCAGAATTAACAGAATAATAAAAGCAAGAAATTCATATTTTTTAATCAACCTCAATTAATTAACATTACATTACAGTAACAATAATAACATTAATTAAATGAATTTGCCTAAATCTAAAGGAGTTGTTCAAAGTGACCATCATTTTGCTCAATGCATAACTAAAGAAACTAAAGCCAAAATAAATAGGTATTTTTTTTACCCTAAACCCCACCAGTTTCGGACGCCCCTGATTAAAAATTTCGACATTTGATGTTTGAATTCGTTTAGGTGTATAAAGATTATTATCTGTACCAAATTTTGTAATTTTATCTTAAATGGTTTCTAAAACATTAGCAAAAACCTATTAGCCCCCTTTCAGGGGGTGTAGCTCCCTTACCAAGCATTTTTCGATACATGTTTATAGGAAACTTTTGTCTTAGAATTGAATATCCTATCACCTGTTTAAATTTGTAACAATAAAAACGGAACACCCTGTATAAAGCAGATAGTTGTAATCCTTAGAGTATAGCTTTTATGTGAAAAATAATTTTATAGTGGGTTGCCATTTAAAAAAATATTTTTTTTTGTAGAACTCAAAAACAAAAGGAAACTTCGTAAAAATTTTTTCTTGTTAAATCATTAATTAGTTTTTTAAAAAAATAAATAGTTTAAGCAAAAAACGTTTGGTTCTATACTTTTTATTCACCTGGTATAACTACGTTTCTGATTTGTCAATTGTAGGAACCTCCACCAATGAACGAAATGGGCGGTACTTACTACGTCCCAGATAACAACATAACATATCAACCCCCACCTTCCTACTACCAACAACCAATCACGTTCTATCCGAACGCCCCACCTTCAAACCCGCCCCCGCCACGATTCCCTATCTCGTACCAAGCTCCGCCTCCTCCTCCTCCCCCAAACCCCGATTTGGTCCCCGTCTATCCCCCTCTTGTCTATCCCAATCAGGGCTACCAACCGAATGTTGTCTACACGCAAAACCCCGTCTACTACCCACAATACCCCCAAAATACCTCCACCCCCAACAATTGCACCGCCTCCGTCTCCCATACGCAATTCTCGAGCCACCTCCAGGAAAACAACCACCAAAATGCTGTGATGCAACAACTCACACAAAATATGTCACAAATGAGTTTCGTACAAAATCAGAATCATTCGAATTATATGTTGAATAAAATGACTCCGCCCCATTTTGACGTGAGACAAAAAAGCAATAAGTTTGGGGGTCCCCCGAAAGGATTTGTCTTGGGGTCGAGTCAAAGTAGCACCGGGACGAATTCACCGGCGGCGACTGTAGTGGCGGGGTATTGCCCCCCAAATCCGGGGATGTACAGAACGCCCCCTGAAACGCCCCCGAATCAGTACAACTACGGGCCGGGGTTTCCCATACCGCCGATGCTTTTTAGACAAGTAAAATCTAACCTCAAAAAATACAAAACTTGATTTTTGAATTATTTAAGATGAGCAACACGTCTGGTACCACCCGAAGTAGTCGGTCACCAACCCCCGCCGGGGATGTGTCTCATTTTGATAGGCCGAGAATAGCGCCACCTGGTGTCTACCATGGTATGCCTTACGTCCTTCCATGTTAGTAGTTATGATTCAGTGTTGCCAACTTAATTTCTGATATAATGCGTTTTAGCTGATAATAGGGTAATCCCCGGGAGTGGTCAACCGTACCGACAGCCGCCTCCGCCGGTAAAACAGCACACTTTCAGTCAGTCACACAAAAATCGAAAGTCAAAGTATGTATCCATCGGTGATTTACCCATTTTTAGTTTTTCTTTTTGTAGGGGAAACAAATTGTCAAGTTTACCCAACGCAAAATAATTCTAAATTAATTGTTATAAAACCGTGGGTTTTACATCGATTTCGTGCTGCCCCCTTGCAATTGTTGTAAAATTGAGGTAAGAAGTTCCTTTTAATTTAAGACATCACTTATTTATTTCGATGCCATAATGAGATTTCGAAGGGATTTGTTTGCCATGAATAAAAAATTGCTCAATTCGTTTCGTTATTTCGCACAATGTTATTATATTTTTGTTATGTTTGAAAGTCTTACCTGAGCGTGGGCCTCTTGAATACGAAAAGACAATCTATTTTGTTGTATGTGAAACTTTGTAAATAATGAAAAAAAAACCATGAAGGGTCCATTTTAGGTGTACACATTTTTGTATGTATTTGGAAAATTTGCCTGAAATGTGTTCAACTAAAACCAACACAAGGAAACAATAATTGACACTTTTTTCCCTTTAAATGTGACGACGACTGTTGTTTGTAAATTGTATTGAATTTATTAAGAAATTTTATAAAAACTGTTAAATGTTTTCCTATTTTAGGTCAACAATTTCCGGTTTTAAGCATGGACAGTTGAGTGATTTTTGTGATTCGTTTTTTAACAAAATTTATAGAATCGTTTTAAGTAGAATTGTTGATCTAAAATCATTTCGAGACGGATTTTTTACCGTTCAAGGAATTCCATCCATTTCTAGTACTTTTCCAAGCTAATTTTACACACTTCATAATTCAAATTGTCATTTTCGAGTCAATTACAATACGTGAGAAAAACTTTACCGATTTATCTGATGTGTACTTAATTTTCATGTAAAAAGCAGTTTCATTGGAAAACTGATGACTATGTGCTTGGGATATCAGATTTCCAACGGTAAAATGGAGAAACAAAACATGTACATCGTTTTAAAATTGATATTTTCAAAGTAGTATTAATCGTTGTAGAAAATTAGTCGTTAATTTGTATTTCCAACATAGGTTTTTTATGTTTGTAATGATTTTATTTATTATTTGTGTTCTAATGTGCCTCGGACACTTGTAAATTAAAGTTATTTCATAAAAGAGAAAGTGTTTGATTTTTTATCCCGTTTTTGAGTCACTCTTAATCGATTTCAGGGTAGAGGTAAGTAAATGAAGGTCTTTTGTATTTACATTACGTATTTTAATTTTATTTTTCGTGAAGTAAATGACAAAAAATTAATTAATAAAAAATAAGAAATATAATTAAACTATTCAAAAATCAGATGATCAAAATACAGATTAAATGTGAGTTAGGGGGAAAACAAAAACCGAAAGAAAATGAAAATGTATATTTGTTACAAAAATACAGGAAACTTAAGATACATACCTATATTTAACAATTTTTTTTCTAAGATAACAATTCTATTGATCTATGCCTACGTTTGTGTTTTAAAGAACTAAAAAACAGATAAACAATACAAATTAACAAAATAGAAATTATGATTAAAATGACAACAATAAGTATTAATGTAGTTTTATTATTATTCATTATTTCGACTTTATACTGGTTTAAATAACCGAAAAGTTCGTTATGAAATTCTTCATCGGAATTTTTGGCCGTAAATTGTGAACTGTTTAATGTTTTAATTTTATTTATTAAACTTGCATTATTGACACACGCAATTCCGTGAACATTTTCAACATCGTGAGAAGTTCCTTCTGCTAAACTTATTTTGTTTTTTAAAATATTAACAAGGTTGCTGCAATTTAGGAAATTATGATCCAAATAAATGGTTTGCAAATTCATTAGGTGTTGTCGCAGTTCATATCCATTCATGTAAGAAAGTTTGTTATTATCGAGATTCAATTCTTCTAAATTTAATAGAGAAATTAGGACTTCAAGATCCAAATATAATAATTGATTATTGGAAAGATTTAAAACTGTAAGTTTTTTTAAACTATCAAAAACCCCAAATGGTAATTTTTTGATTCGATTTTGAGATAAATCTAATGTTTGCAATTCTTTTAAATTTTGAAAAGCATGTGGATAAACATTTGTTATATTGTTATGACTTAAATCTAGTACTCTTAGTGTATTACAAAAAAATGGTTTATCTATAATGAGAATTTGATTGTTATTCAAATATAACTCGTCTAAACTTAACAACGTTTCGAATCTGCCATCTTCAATTCTCGATAGTTTATTCTTACCTAGATATAGTATATTTAGGTTGTCAATCTTCTTGAAAGAATTTTTTTCTATTTTGGTAATG